ATCAGGGATGATATCCAGGAATTGAAGCCAACACTTCTCGCTGGGGTACCTCGAGTTTTTGAAAGAATTCATCAAGGCATGAATAATTATCTTATATATATATATATATATAGAGAGAGAGAGACGTTATCCTTGTTCTTTTTGCTCATATTTCATGAATTTTGGTTTGTAGGTATACTGAAGGCAGTGTCAGAACTTTTACCACACAGAAGGATGATCTTCAATATGCTCTACAAATAGTAAGTTGGTTTCATAGAAGTACTAATTTCCTCATTTCTTCTAAAGTTTATTTTTATTTTCAGGGATGATTGAATTTAATTATTATATCAATTCTTGTTGCATGGCAGTAAATTATCCTGGATGCAATCAGGGTACGAGCAAAAGAAAGCTTCGCCATTGGCTGACTTGTTGGCATTTCGTAAGGTGAACTTAAATCTCTGACTTTGTATTCTTGTACAAATTACCTAGTACATTAATCATCCATGATGCAAAAAACAAACAAATCTCTTTAATTTTTATCTCGGTAAATTTGAAAATTTACGTTTGCTAAATTTTTATGTAGGTCAAGGCTAGGCTAGGAGGCCGTCTTCGTCTGATAGTATCTGGAGGAGCCCCATTGAGTAACGATATTGAGGAATTCTTGAGAGTTACTAGCTGCGCGTTGTTCGTCCAAGGCTATGGTAATGTATATAGCATTTTGCCTAAATCAGTAAATAAGATCTAAATTTATGCTCCTAAAAAAAGTACTGTCATGTACATAACTTTTGTTCATCAAGTTTTATGGAGATGAGCTGCAAAAGTGTATTAAAAAGTAGGGTTAAATGCGGATAAACCCCTTGTACTACCGCCAAAATAAACTAAATACCTTGTAGTTCTACTGCTGCAAATCGACCCCCTTAAACAGTTGTATTGTTGCAGATAGAGTGATAGACCCCTAGAGAGAAAATCTAATGTTTCTGGCAGACCACCTTAAAAGAGTCGAGAAAATTTCACTTAGGATGTCTATCTGCAACAATAGACCTACAAGGGTAGTAAGTTAAATTTGGCGAAATACATAGGGTCTATCCACAATTAACCCAAACTAGTACGATGTCGTAAGCTTTAAGTAGAGAACCTTTTTTTGTGAAATTGGTATAAACCCGTCGTTAATATATATAACAAAACTTTATTAAAGCTCTGGCAACATATCTTAGCATAATTGTGGACATATGCATATATCTTACACAAAAAATGAATACATAAATTCTGTTTCTATTTGTTCAGGACTTACAGAGACTTGTGGACTGAGCTCAGTCGGATTCCCTGATGATATGTCCTTAATAGGAACAGTTGGTGTTGCTTCAACATTCAGCGAAATTAGACTAGAAGAAGTCCCTGAAATGGGTTATGATCCATTAGCAACTCCGTCGCGTGGCGAAATATGTGTCAGAGGGAAGACTCTCTTCTCTGGATATCACAGGAATCCGGAGTTAACAGCAGAATCAATAAGAGATGGCTGGTTTCATACAGGTAAAAGAATAATAATTAAGAATGTAATTAACTTCACCATAATATGTTAAATTGCATGTTTCTTGTTTTAGGAGATATCGGGGAGATGAGCCCCGATGGAGTCTTAAAGATTATTGACAGGAAGAAGAACATATTTAAGCTATCACAAGGAGAGTATGTTGCAGCTGAATATCTGGAGAAAGTATATAGTTTCGCTCCTATAATTGAAGACGTAAGCCTCATGTTGTTTAAAGTTACACATTCAAAATGTTATGTTCGGTGATTGGTAAAAACTTCTGTTATTTTTTCTTAGATTTGGGTATATGGGGATAGCTATCGTTCCATGTTAGTTGCAGTGGTGGCTCCCCATGAAGATAACACTAAGAAATGGGCAGCCATGAATGGTTACAAGGGTTCATTCGCTGATCTTTGCGCACTCGAGCAACTGAAACAGTGTATTCTTCAAGAGTTGAAGGCAATTTCTGACAAAAATAAGGTATCATCTTCAACCATTTGAGACACGGTAGTGAAAACAAAATTTCACAACAATGAGTTCTGATACAGCTACGAGGATTCGAACAAATCAGAGGGGTTGTCGTGGACCCTCAGCCTTTTGACACTGAGAGAGATCTTGTAACTCCTACAATGAAGAAGAAAAGAGCCCAATTGTTGAAATACTATCAGGTGAATTTTATACATTTAAGCAAACAGGCTGCATTTTCTTTTTTCAATAAGCTTAATCAAAATATGTTCCATGCTAAAACAGGCGGACATCGAAAAGCTTTACAAGAATCTTGCTGAAGGTAGAAAATGAGCTGTGGAGGTATCGTTGAGATGTGTTGTTCCACAGTACTTTCTTCAAGATGCAGTAAGCATGGTTGTTGTATTTATAGTTGTTGATTGTGATTGTCTTGTGCTAAGATATTTCAAAAGAGTTTGAAGTAAAGACATGAGGGAGATTCAGATAAGCTTCCTGCTTCAAGAGAACACTGTATCTGACAATTTGTTTTCTATTCTCTGAGCAACATAATATTACTGAGTAAAAGTTGTATTTGTGCAACTTCTGCACCAATTGTATTATCTCAAGGAAAAAAAATTGAACAAAAAGCTACAGGAAGAAGAAAACAAACAGTTTTAGGAGGGATAAAATACAAAATACAGAAGTATAGTAATTACGTTATTCAAAATGCAGGATGTCGAAAAGATGGAAAGGCGACACAAAATGAAACTGTATTTCCCATCAAACTTCACCAATACTCATGCTATTATGAGAATAGAGTTTTTCTTCGTTCTGCTATTATCAGAAAACAGTTTCCCTATCTAATCATAAATCAGAGAAAACTAAAAGGCATAGTTTAAAATTTTACCTCGAAGTTCGGTCTTCCAATACATTATGAAGCAGTATCTCATCTTCCTGGTGATATAAAGGGCTATCGGTGGATATCTCTCTTAATTTAACTCGGCATACGGATAACAAGCCTTCATGAATCCAGAATGCATGTGAATTTTTGATGACTTATGGGACAAATCATGTCCAGTCAGATCTTCTACTTTTATGACTCAAAAACTATTCACAACCGCTTTAACTGCCAATAGAATGTTATCCGGTTCGAGCTCCTCGCAGTGGGAGCACATGCACATTGAGTGTATAATGCTACAAAAGACTTCTAAGATTTGAAACCAAAATGCTTCGTCCCACATAGAGAAAAGGCGACGATCAAAAGCAATCAATCTGTTTTTGTTAGCATAGCATGAAGGCATTCCATCAAATCATTAGCCTAGTGCATCTGTCCAGACAGAGAAATATTCCACAGTGCCTTGTATCTCATAGGTTGACAACTATCGCCAAGTTTGACACTTTCCTGATATACAACAATTGCAGTTACTTTGAACATAACAGGGAAGCATAAACTCAGCTGCAATCCATCTCATGAGCATCAAAAAATGAGACGTTCCTGTAAATCGTCTCAGTTTACAATCCCACAAAAGAATTATATAATCATGGGCAGCAAAAATTGAAAGGAGCTTTCATGCGCCTCCCTTCCTCCCTTGCTACTCATCATAGTCACTCTTCTCATCATTTTATCTGGACTGTCACTCGAGTACTGCAGGCTAGGATCAACTGTGATTTAGGCAAAAGGAATTCACACCAAATTCTATAGTTGGATTTGGCCGCAAGTGGGGTTCCTATGATCCAACACCTGAAAGAGGTAGAAAATCAAACAGTAAGAAGACTCCAGCAGTCTTGCTTCACATTTCTAAGCATTAAAAACCCCTTGGAACAAGAAACAGGAAAAAAAAGTATATTAATAAACAATAAGCAAACACAGAAGACATAGGTATACTACTTTACAAGCCATCAAGAAGTATACTATTTGGGGTTGCTACAAAGTTTTTTCCGCCCAAATATATGTGATTCCTTTTTAGTGAGGCGTGAGATTTCAAAGTTGCATTGTGGGGAGTTCTTCAAACATTTAGGGTACTCAACAAACTGAAATAAAAATGGGAATTGGCACATTTTAATTTATGTTAAAATCTTTATTGGCTCTGACGTAGGTACACGAATACAATATTCCAACACAATGGAAAACAGATATTGTGCCTAGCACGTGCATGACACGTGTTCCAACAATGAACAGCTCATGTTTGAAGTTATTGGGCCAACTGAGTTTAAACTGATGAGGCAATAACCGTAATATCCATTTCTATTATTGCAACCAATACAAATTCTTTATGATTCAATCTGAAACAGTTAGAAAAAATATTAAGAATTTTAACACAAAGCTCTGGAAAAGTATAGTATTTTTGTGAAAATCCAAAGGTGACATGATAAACTACAAATTTTCATAAGTGCAGCAAATCAAACTTCCTCAAGTTTTTTAACAGAACATAAACAAAATGGATCTTAATCTTTACCAGCAAGTTGTTCAATCATTTTCTCCCTTTGATTCTAAGGAAAGTGATCTGTTGCTGGATAGTTTGCAGCCCATTCATACTCTTAATTCTCAAACTAATCCACCACATAAAGGTGGATGTTTAGTTTTAGATGTAAGATGTTCAGAAATTTTGTTTTTTATCAGCATACTGTAAAAGGTTGTCTCCGCAGAAAAAAGGACAGCAGTCATGAAAATGTAGAAAAACTACCCTCTCTACAGTGGTTGTATTTTGATAATGTCCCCAAAGCTGTTTTCTTCCCCTCGAATTCCACGTCATATTAGACTAGAGGAGGGAGACTAATGTTCGAATCAGGATAGCCTGTGAAAGAATAAATAAGGAAAGAAGCATGAGCAAGTGAAACAGAGTCTAATCATGTGATAAGTTGATAGATATATAGCCAGATATAAATCCATTTGCACTGCAGAGCTCTTACTGTCTTACACAAAGGAGTTCTATTCTTTGGCGAGGCGGATTAAATATAATCAAATTTCAGTAGAGTTCATATACCAATTCGACAAAAGATACGCAAAATTGGTGAACTAGGAATAAATGGTCACTATAAAGAATCATTTTATATAGTACCTCTCTAGCGTAAATATCAAATATAAGCAATCAAGTTGATAGATGCTACTTAACTGTTCCATCACGCTGGGCGGGGTGGGGTGGTGGTGCTCAAGAAAGAAAACTCGAGATTACAGTACCCAACATTGCATTGATGAACTGCTACAACCAAGAAATTTATTCATAAATTGTTTCCAATAAAAGGTTGGCATTGTCAAATTGTTCATGAGCTAAGTAATAATATCACAGATGTAACAATAGTGGATCAAATCATGCCAACACAAGACGCATGGGCAAAACAATGGAAATTTTAAGAAACAACTGGATTACGTAGGTTACGAAGAAACATAGGTATAGCAACTTATACTACATGTGCATACAGTATAGTAAATACCAAAACCCTGGAGCCCTGGAGATTAGGAAGTTTGTTAAAAGTAGAACTAAATAACAACAAAACCTAAATGTAATACATAGCATATGATCTAGTTATGAAACCGAAAAAAATAAAGACATTTGAAAATCAGATGCAGTATGTGGCCTACAACAAGCTTATGATGCCCGACATATGTTTGCAAGGTTCTTACATTATGCTAAAATTATATTCTATTTTTCTCTTTGTACGTGTGTCAAAGCAAAATATGATATCAAGGTAGTTAAACCTCACCATTAAAAGTTTCCTCAAAGCCAAAACGGGTCAAACATCTTTTTTGCTAGATCCAACACTGTTCAGCATGTCCAACATAAGTGTAGTGCAAAGTTGTGCAAAGTTGGTGTCAGACCCACGCTGGAGTCTCCATGTGTCCTATATGGCAACACTAACAGCTGCATTTCGGATGGAAACAGCCTAGCTACAAAGTCATGACAATACTGCTTTACTTTTTTTTCTTTGTTTCATGAGCACGACATGGTCGCGTCCAGGGTTAATAAATATCAAAGAGAAACCATGATCATGGTTGAAGTATTATTACATAGACTTGGTTGCTTCCCCTGTACAGCCAGCAAGAGCTTCTTCTGTCCTCTTCATATTCATATTAAAGTAAACAACTGTTCCCTACATTTACAACTTCATTTTCAGCTAGTCAGTATCCACATGATTTTCATATGCAAACTTCTTCAAGCGTTTTAGTACACCAGATATTTTGGCTAGACAAAAGAATATTAACCACTTATTATTCTTATTGTAAAAGTAAGACACAATTTTCTTTTCTTGAAAAAAGGAAAGGGAAAAAAGACGCTCAATAGATGGTTCACACTGTTGACCAAACTAGATCAATCTCATTAACCGTATAACATGCGAAAGAGCAATTTCCACTTTCTCCTTCTTGCATTTTGGTATATGGCAACTACTGGGGTTGTAACTGCAGCTACAAGCAACTGAGATAATTTGTGTCAGTTACAGCGTTTGTTTGACTGTGGATTATAAATACAGTTGCAACTATAATTACAACTGTAGTTGCAAACAGGACCTCTGGTTGCAGCTTAAGACTCCTGTAGATTTGGATGTAAATGACAGTTACAACCCTTTAAAGTCACAAAAGATCAAATCATAACTCCAATTGCAACGAAACTCCAATATAAGTCCAAAACACATGACATCCCAAAACAAACACTTACAACTACAACTGCAACTATAAATTGCAAAATTTTAAAACTAAACCAAGCAACTGCAAGTACATCTGCATGTCAGAGAGTTGCATGCGATTGGCATTCACGTCGCAATTATAGTCGCAATGAACCTAACAGTCCCTTAACTATCATCTTAGGCTAAAGTTAAAAAAAAGCTTAGGCTAAAGTAAAAAAATAAAAATAAAAATAAAAAACAAGCTCCAAGAATAATAAATCTGAAAAAACATAATAAGTCTGGTTACCAGCTTATAATTTCTGCCCTCCTCGGTAGAATTCATTTTCCTTGAGATGATGTCCACATTAAGATGCGCGCATTAAGAATACACATACCCTTGTTGACCAAGCTAATAATCTGCAACATCGGTTTGTAACAATCATTATCAAAGAGATCCACCAGAAGGAACTTGGATCAGAAATACATATCACATGGATTTAAAATTAGTATTCTGCTAAAAGAGAAGTATCTGGCTATCTGCACATTGATTCTAAATTCCAAAGATTCTTTGTTGTTCTTTCATAAAAAAACTGCCATCAGAATATATCTGTTTCTCTCCATCGTCCAGTATATCGTCTAGTGACTGAACTGCCACAGAACAACTCGTATTCCTGAAAACACCGTGCACCAGAGCATTCCACGTGGCAACATTTGGGACAATACTTTCATTCAACATCTTTAGAAGATACACCATAGCATCCTCCAACCTATGCTGATCAGAGAGACCAGAGATAAGAGTAGTATATGTGAAAACATCCCGGTAACCAATTTCATTAGCCATACTGCCTAAAATTTGTGCAGCATTTCTGACTTTTTTTGCCTTGCAATAAGCATGAACAATTAGGTTAAAAGTGATTGCATCAGGCTGAATTCCCTTAAGTATCATCTTACTCACAATGAGTAAAGCTTCATCAACGCCAGCAACCTGACAAAAGCCATGTATTATGGTGTTGTAAGTCACTGTAGTCAACTCAACCCCAGCTCCTAACATCTCATTCAATAATTGGAAGGCTTCTTCAAAGTTTCCTTCTCTGGAGAGACCATCAAGCAGTTGATTGTATGTTCTAGTGTTGGGTGGGCATCCGTGGTTTCTCATCTTATGTAATGTGTTCATTGCCCAGCCAACCTTTCCAGCATCACAAAGCCCTTTGATTAATGTGTTGAATGTTATTGTGTTTGGCGTGCATTTTTCTGACAACATATTATTTATAAGACTCTGAGCATGATCAAACATGGAACTCCTGCAAAAAACATCCACCATGGAAGTATATACAACAACATTGGGCTTACAGCCTTCGCTCATCATCCTGTTCCACATTGACGTCGCGCCTTTGTAGTCTCGTACTTTCGAGAAGCCATTGATGAGAGCACTGTAGGTTTTAACATTAGGACGACAATTGTTTGCTTCCATTTCATCAAAGGCAACTAGGGCCTTAGTCAGATTCCTGTTAGAGCAAAGACCGTGGATAAGAATATTATAAGCAATGAGATTAGGCATGCAACCTTCTTGAATCATTTGACCCCAAACATCAAGAGCTTCATGTACTCTACTCTCCTCAAAGAACCCTTTCATCAATGAAGAAAATGTAAAAATATTAGGACTGCAACCTCTTAAAAGCATTTGGCTCAAAACAGCGAGAGAGAGCTTTACATGCCCCATTTTGCATAAAACGTTAATTATGGTTGTGTAGGTAATCACATTGGGGCTTATTCCCTTATCCACCATTTCATCCACTAAAGAGAACACCTCTTTCATTCTCAATTCCCCAAATAAGCCATTTATCAGAGCATTATATGTCGCAACAGTAGGCTGAATTTTCATCACCAGCTCATTAGCTTCCTTCAGCATCCCAGCCCGACAAAGACTAGAAACTATTGTGCTGTAGCTAACCGAATCCGGACTATGGCCCTTATTTCCCATCTCCATTAGAAGTTTATAAGCAGCATCAATCCGATCATTTTGGCACAGAGCTTTAATAAGTATATTGTAAGTGAACACATTGGGCTCTATCCCATCTTTCTTCATATTACTATAGACCGGAGTGATCATATTAAACCTACTCTCCTTAAGCAATGCATCCAAAAGATGATTGTAAATCTTCACTGTAGGCTGACAACCCAGATCCTGAATCCGATAGAATGTTTTAAGGGCTTGTTCAGTCGATCCAGACCGAGCATAAGATTTTATGACATCGATAATTACGTATTCTGAACAAGGTATTCCTTCTAGCTTCATCTGCTGCATTAGGTACTGAACGATATCCATCTCATTAGCCTTAGTGAGCTTTTCGATCAAGGTGCCGTAAGTGAGTCGAGTGTGCTTAAACCCTTTTGAATCTGCTACGGATTTAAAATATTGCAAAGCAATGGGAATGCTCTTCTCATGCTTTAATCTATTCCAAACATCACCCTCTCTCAAAAGAGGGCTGTTGCAATTTTGTTCTTGTATTTGAGGGCGATCAGAGATCAAATTCAAGTTGAGGGTCATTTGCAAAGGAGGTTTTCGGGCCTTCAGTAATAACTGGCATCCCTCTTTCAAACACATGGGGGGAAAAACTACCAAAGATTTCAACTTTAAGAACTAAATCGACATAAAACCATTTGACCAAACGCAGGCGATAATTCTTCAACAGAAATTAGACGAAATGGAAAGCCCTAATCGAGTGACGAAACGCAAAATTAGATACAAAGATGATAATTTAATGTCAATACCTGCAGAAAAATCTTCAATTAGGAGTGGGGTTTGAGGATTTATTGAGAATTTCGAGATAGGGTTTAGGGTTTATAACCCACAAAGAGAAAGAGGAATTCAGCTCGAGCTCTGAGAGCGGAGCGCAGATGCCGATCGAGAAGAGTGAACCCGGGTTTTCTCTTCTAAAAACCAGACCCGCTTTGTTTTCTGTAGGAAAAACTACCCCCTCTAATTTTAGGGGCTCCGAACCACCTCCTAATTTAGCATGTTTGTTATATCCACTCCAAAGCAGTAATTTTGGGAGTGGGTTGCCGAAAATGCCCTTTTGATGTTGAGGGTGTTTCTGGAATGGACTTGGCCTGTTTTGGTTTGGGAGAAGGGCAATTTAGTCCTCACACACCCCCAAAGTTACTGTTTGGGAGTGTGAATAGTTGGACCCCTTTTTCGGCTTTAATTATGAAGTTACATGAAGGATTGTAGTAAAAAGCTTTTGCTTTCTTTGACATGGTAATGTAATTGGTCATAAGATGTACAAGAAGTCTTTGTAATTTTTTTGTCTAGTGCATCATGTCAATGTTACTTATGATTGAATACTTACTTTAGAGTTCTCAAAAGATTATAATAATCATAACTACAAAATTTTTCATTTCCATCATTGTAGTAATCATATCTTTTTGTTTTTTATTTTCTGTTATGGGGGTACAACTGTTTCCAAAAATATAATCTGATGAGTCGTCATCTCCATCCAGCCAAACAAGCCGACACCCTAGTGTCGACACGAGAAAAGGTGCTAATCGGCACGAGACATCCTGACCTCCCAGACGAGTCGACATCTCGACCGACGGGAGAGATAGCTAGAGATCAGCTAGCAGTCCGACTCAGCCGACCAGACGAGTCGACATTCATCAATGTCAACACGAAAGGTGGTACCAGTTTGCCCTCTCGTAGCAGGCAACTCGTCAAGAGCCTAGTCAACCTAGTCGAGTCGATACTCCTCCATGTCAGGATACGACACTTATGTGATATTGACCTTTGACACTTATATGGTTTCGGCGTGACTTTTGATTTAGTATTGAGATGGGTTGTTTCTTTTAGTTTATTATTCATGTATTAGACTTTGGGTTTTGTAATTAGGGATTTACAATGTGAGATAAAAGGTATATACATGAGGGTTTCCTTGTTTGGATTATTTCGCTCGACGTACCTATGCTAGTGTTGTAATTTTCCTAAATATTAAAACCCATTATTTGCTAGGAGTAATGATTTTAACTATTATGTAATAACTGTACTTGACCTCCCAGACGAGTCGACATCTCGACCGACGGGAGAGATAGCTAGAGATCAGCTAGCAGTCCGACTCAGCCGACCAGACGAGTCGACATTCATCAATGTCAACACGAAAGGTGGTACCAGTTTGCCCTCTCGTAGCAGGCAACTCGTCAAGAGCCTAGTCAACCTAGTCGAGTCGATACTCCTCCATGTCGACTCGAAAGACGGGACAAGACGTCACCCGACTCCATTCAGCCAGCGATCCTTGAGTCGTCACTACACTCAACGAGTCGACTCTCCTCGTGAGTCCTATCATGAGGGACATTACTTCTCAGCGAAGTTAAAAGATAACTTCGCCAGAGCTTATCCATACTGACAACCAAGTCATATCATGTCTACTCAAAAGACCACACGTCATCACGCTGCTTATTAGCTCACATCCCATCGATCACTCCTTAAATCGAGGAAGAAGTGATCTTTCTCCTATCGCCAGCCGACACATGTAGAGCAAAGGATGACTCACCTTCTAGCTCACACTTTGTTACCACCATTTGCATGGCCGAAATAACCAATTTACCATTGACATCTTCTTTATATATAGATGTTATTCGCCATAGCTAAATATTCGCAGTCTAAACTCTCCTCCTGACCTAAATCTCAGAGATCATCATCTCTAATGCACATAGCATAAGAACACATAGTTCTACTACTCCACTCAAGCTCAAGTTCATCAACTAACTTGATCGTCGGAGGTACCACGGGGGAATCACCAACCCGCCCTCTCACGACCTTCTTCTGTACAGATCATTCACTCTAACTCAGTGGCCAAGGCATAAAGTCAGGGAAGGAATCGGCCCCCTCCATCATCTTTTATCACTCCGTAACCATCCTATTCTAGATTATTTTGTATGATTTGAATATCAACAGTTTGGCACCCACTATGAGGCCCTCTTTCTTTTTTGAGAGAACATGTCTAGTTCTGAAGATAGAGCCAAGCGATCTCGTCCTAAAGGACCTCATCAGAACTATGCTACTCAAGCCCGGCTTGAATCGCCAGCTTATATGATTCATCAATCTTGCCAAGAGCAATTTGCTACTTTCACTAGTGGCTTGCTTCTCAGCTGGCTTCCACAGCCGTAACAAGCAAATTTTGTGTCTCATCGTTCAACTCGCCGATGTCTCTTTCCTCATCAGGAACTCACTATAAACCCCGAAAATTTGAATATAGTGTGATAAATAATTATAAATATGTTATATGATGAAAATAATGTATTTTTTATGTTTGAGTATGATAGGAATTGATTTGAGATCAATTCAATGCATATTTGTGAATATACGAGTGTAAATACACAAAACATGCACAAAGGCAAATAGTGAGAATCTGAGAATTTTGACCAGTTGAGAGTTTTTATATTTTTCACACTGATTTATTTAGAATATGGAAAAGTGTATAAGATCAAAGTTGTAGGTCTCTTCAAGAGCTTTCCAACGAATCTTAGATCACCTCATTCCGAGATCAGATGAGAAAGTTATAGCCTTTTCACCGAACCCCAGTCTGAGAATGACCCAGGACCCTGCGCAGTCGACCGCCGTGGTCGCTGCGGTCGACCGCGCAGCGAACCTGGTTCTGTCAGTTCTGTTTCGGGCGGGTTTTGTTTATACCAAACCCGATTGCTACCCTAAGTATATATACTCGTTTTGAAGCTCTCAGAACCCTCTATTGAACCCTAATAGCCCCAGCCCCCTTCTCTCTCTCCTCTCAAAACCCTAACTCGGATTTTGGCGTTTTTGGGGCGTTTCGAAGGATTTTCGGTGGAGTTTCGTTGCTCAGATTGAAGGAGGACCGTTCTCACTCGTTTTTGGGTGTTCATCAACCCCCTCAGGCTTGTGACATCTCACCCAGCCCTTCACCCACGTTTTTATGGGTTTTCTAATGATTTTATTAAGATTTGTTGAGCCTAAAATGCTAGTTTACATATAAGTATAGTTCTTGTAGCATATGATGCGAAAATCCAATATTTCAGTTTGAAAATAACCTCACCAAATGAATTTCTTTTCTGTAATAGATCCGGATCTGAAAAATTGTTTTTGAACTCTGAGTTTTGATGCAAGTTTACTGTTTTATAACTTTTAAATCATGTGTATAGAAGTTCACAAATCCTAGTGATGATTTTTGTTTTCATGCTAGATGTTATTATACGATGATTCATATGTATTAGAATGTGTAATATATTGTTTGGAAGCATGGGTGTATTGTTTGGATCGATTTCGAAGCAGAACAGAAATCTGGAAAAAGCTTCTGTTCATTTCGCGGTCGACCGCGTGTGACGCGACGGTCGACCGCTGGGCGTTCTGTCGAGCAGAATGTCTCTGCCCTATGCGCGGTCGACCGGAGTGGTTTCTGCGGTCGACCGCCGCACTGTTTGTGCATGTATTTATTTTGGTTGTGTATTTTATACGTCCGAGGGGTCGCCTCGATTATCTAACACTATATTGCAATGATAGTGACTTGTCTATACATGTGAGTTGACACTTTTGACACAAGTTTAAACCCGCACATTGAAACACGTACAAGATTGGGATATGTATATCTTTCCACATATGCTGGTGACAATTACACTTCTTTGTTCATAGTCCATGTGTTGAGCATACATTATTATTAATCCATGTGTTGGACTATAATCCATTGAAGTCCTCGTGTTGGACTATAATCCATTGAAGTCCTCGTGTTGGACTATAATCCATTGAAGTCCTCGTGTTGGACTATAATCCATTGAAGTCCTCGTGTTGGACTATAATCCATTGAAGTCCTCGTGTTGGACTATAATCCATTGAAGTCCTCGTGTTGGACTATAATCCATTGAAGTCCTCGTGTTGGACTATAATCCATTGAAGTCCTCGTGTTGGACTATAATCCATTGAAGTCCTCGTGTTGGACTATAATCCATTGAAGTCCTCGTGTTGGACTATAATCCATTGAAGTCCTCGTGTTGGACTATAATCCATTGAAGTCCTCGTGTTGGACTATAATCCATTGAAGTCCTCGTGTTGGACTATAATCCATTGAAGTCCTCGTGTTGGACTATAATCCATTGAAGTCCTCGTGTTGAGTTTATTATTCATGTATTAGACTTTGGGTTTTGTAATTAGGGATTTACAATTTGAGATAAAAGGTATATACATGAGGGTTTCCTTGTTTGGATTATTTCGCTCGACGTACCTATGCTCGGTTGTAATTTTCCTAAATATTAAAACCCATTATTTGCTAGGAGTAATGATTTTAACTATTATGTAATAACTGTACTTTCTGTATACAACGAGCCCTTTCCCTTGGGGTTGGTTGTGATGTTGTTCGCTAGCGCTTTGACGCTCGTTGTCCCTCCCCCTTTCAGGTAACGAGCTAGGAGCCCGGAGAGAACTGTGTTTAGACATTTGAGGGCTTTATTCTAGATGTGTAAAGGCTGTGTGCCTTATTTCCTTTACTCAGACTTGTTGTATTTGAGATTTGTTAAGAACTCCAGTTTATTCATTTCAAACATTGACTTTGTATTCCTATATGTTGGATGATGAAATATTATTTTGATCTCTATCATTTCATCAGTTATCTCTTGTAGTATCTTTTACTTATTTTTGTACCTACACCTATTATTGACTCTACTAGAGTGATAGAATTGTGATGGTGAAACATGTTATTGTACGGTGTGGTGCATGGCAGGGTTGATATTCTTGGTTTCACCTTGGACTGCAGCCTTGTGTGAACTGCACGGGGTGGTGCATGGCAGGGTTGAAATTCTTGGTTTCACCTCGGACTGCAGCCTTGCGTGAACCCAGGGGCGTCACAGTTGGTATCAGAGCGCTAGTTCCAGTATCCTTAGGATCATCCTGTGTCGAGTCGTGGAGCTAGGATAGAGTTTCTTAGGATTCATGTATAGAGTCCG